CAGGAGCATCCTGTGGGAAGCAGGAGGATCCAATGGGAAGCAGGAGGATCCCGTGGGAAGCAGGAGGATCCAATGGGGAGCAGGAGGATCCAATGGGAAGCAGGAGCATCCTGTGGGAAGCAGGAGGATCCAATGGGAAGCAGGAGGATCCAATGGGGAGCAGGAGGATCCAATGGGAAGCAGGAGCATCCTGTGGGAAGCAGGAGGATCCAATGGGAAGCAGGAGGATCCAATGGGAAGCAGGAGCATCCCGTGGGAAGCAGGAGGATCCCGTGGGATGCAGGAGGATCCCGTGGGATGCAGGAGGATCCAATGGGAAGCAGGAGGATCCAATGGGATGCACGAGGATCCAATGGGATGCACGAGGATCCAATGGGAAGCAGGAGGATCCCATGGGATGCAGGAGGATCCAATGGGATGCAGGAGGATCCAATGGGGAGCAGGAGGATCCAATGGGATGCAGGAGGATCCAATGGGTTGCAGGAGGATCCAATGGGGAGCAGGAGGATCCAATGGGAAGCAGGAGGATCCCATGGGATGCAGGAGGATCCAATGGGGTGCAGGGGGATCCAATGGGAAGCAGGAGGATCCCATGGGGTGCAGGAGGATCCAATGGGGAGCAGGAGGATCCCATAGGAAGCAGGAGGATCCAATGGGAAGCAGGAGGATCCCATGGGATGCAGGAGGATCCAATGGGAAGCAGGAGGATCCAATGGGAAGCAGGAGGATCCCATGGGAAGCAGGAGGATCCCGTGGGGTGCAGGAGGATCCAATGGGAAGCAGGAGGATCCAATGGGAAGCAGGAGGATCTTGTGGGAAGCAGGAGGATCTCGTGGGAAGCAGGAGGATCCCATGGGAAGCAGGAGGATCCAGTGGGATGCAGGAGGAGCCAATGGGGAGCAGGAGGATCCCATGGGATGCAGGAGGATCCAATGGGAAGCAGGAGGATCTCGTGGGAAGCAGGAGGATCCCGTGGGATGGAGGAGGATCCAATGGGAAGCAGGAGGATCCCGTGGGATGCAGGAGGATCCAATGGGAAGCAGGAGGATCCCGTGGGATGCAGGAGGATCCAATGGGAAGCAGGAGGATCCCATGGGAAGCAGGAGGATCCCATGGGGTGCAGGAGGATCCAATGGGGAGCAGGAGGATCCCATAGGAAGCAGGAGGATCCAATGGGAAGCAGGAGGATCCCATGGGATGCAGGAGGATCCAATGGGAAGCAGGAGGATCCAATGGGAAGCAGGAGGATCCCATGGGAAGCAGGAGGATCTCGTGGGAAGCAGGAGGATCCAATGGGAAGCAGGAGCATCCCGTGGGAAGCAGGAGGATCCCATGGGAAGCAGGAGGATCCAATGGGAAGCAGGAGGATCCAATGGGAAGCAGGAGGATCCCATGGGAAGCAGGAGGATCTCGTGGGAAGCAAGAGGATCCAGTGGGAAGCAGGAGGATCCAATGGGAAGCAGGAGCATCCCGTGGGAAGCAGGAGGATCCCATGGGAAGCAGGAGGATCCCGTGGGATGCAGGAGGATCCAATGGGAAGCAGGAGGATCCTGTGGGATGCAGGAGGATCCAATGGGAAGAGGAGGATCCCGTGGGGTGCAGGAGGATTCAATGGGAAGCAGGAGGATCCCGTGGGGTGCAGGAGGATCCCATGGGGTGCAGGAGGATCCAATGGGAAGCGGGAGGATCCAATGGGAAGCAGGAGGATCCAATGGGATGCAGGAGGATCCAATGGGATGCAGGAGGATCCCATGGGGAGCAGGAGGATCCAATGGGATGCAGGAGGATCCAATGGGAAGCAGGGGGATCCAATGGGAAGCAGGAGGATCCAATGGGGAGCAGGAGGATCCAATGGAAAGCAGGAGGATCCAATGGGGAGCAGGAGGATCCAATGGGAAGCAGGAGGATCCCGTGGGGTGCAGGAGGATCCAATGGGATGCAGGAGGATCCAATAGGATGCAGGAGGATCCAATGGGAAGCAAGAGGATCCAATGGGAAGCAGGAGGATCCAATGGGATACAGGAGGATCCTATGGGAAGCAGGAGGATCCAATGGGAAGCAGGAGGATCCAATGGGAAGCAGGAGGATCCCGTGGGGTGCAGGAGGATCCCATGGGGTGCAGGAGGATCCAATGGGAAGCGGGAGGATCCAATGGGAAGCAGGAGGATCCAATGGGGTGCAGGAGGATCCAATGGGATGCAGGAGCATCCCATGGGAAGCAGGAGGATCCCGTGGGATGCAGGAGGATCCCATGGGAAGCAGGAGGATCCAATGGGAAGCAGGAGCATCCCGTAGGATGCAGGAGGATCCCATGGGATACAGGAGGATCCAATGGGAAGCAGGAGGATCCAATGGGGAGCAGGAGCATCCCGTGGGAAGCAGGAGCATCCCGTAGGATGCAGGAGGATCCAATGGGAAGCAGGAGCATCCCGTGGGAAGCAGGAGCATCCCGTAGGATGCAGGAGCATCCCTGAGGCCCCCGTTGCCCCGCAGGCCCTGGATTACTGCCACAGCATGGGCGTGATGCACCGCGACGTGAAGCCCCACAACGTGATGATCGACCACGAGCACCGGAAGGTGGGAGCCTGCCGCCATTCCCGAGCCTTGGAATACGCCCTGGGAGCAGGGAATGCGCTGGGCTGGACGGGATCCGGAGCTGGAGGAGCCCTTTAGGGCCATGGGGGTCCCAGCTGGTGGGGGGGAATTCCATGGGAGCATCCCTTAAATCCCCATGGGTTTCCCTCTTCCCGATGGGAATTCCATGGGAGCATCCCTTAAATCCCCATGGATTTCCCTCTTCCCAATGGGAATTCCATGGGAGCATCCCTTAAATCCCCATGGATTTCCCTCTTCCCAATGGGAATTCCATGGGAGCATCCCTTAAATCCCCATGGATTTCCCTCTTCCCAGTGGGAATTCCATGGGAGCATCCCTTAAATCCCTATGGATTTCCCTCTTCCCAATGGGAATTCCATGGGAGCATCCCTTAAATCCCCATGGATTTCCCTCTTCCCAGTGGGAATTCCATGGGAGCAGCCCTTAAATCCCCATGGGTTTCCCTCTTCCCAATGGGAATTCCATGGGAGCAGCCCTTAAATCCCCATGGGTTTCCCTCTTCCCAATGGGAATTCCATGGGAGCAGCCCTTAAATCCCCATGGGTTTCCCTCTTCCCAATGGGAATTCCATGGGAGCAGCCCTTAAAGCACCCCCTGCATCCCTTAAATCCCCATGGATTTCCCTCTTTCCAATGGGAATTCCATGGGAGCATCAAAGCACCCCCTGCATCCAGTAAATCCCTATGGATTTCCCTCTTCCCAATGGGAATTCCATGGGAGCATCCCTTAAATCCCCATGGATTTCCCTCTTCCCAGTGGGAATTCCATGGGAGCATCCCTTAAATCCCCATGGATTTCCCTCTTCCCGATGGGAATTCCATGGGAGCATCCCTTAAATCCCCATGGATTTCCCTCTTCCCGATGGGAATTCCATGGGAGCATCCCTTAAATCCCCATGGATTTCCCTCTTCCCGATGGGAATTCCATGGGAGCATCCCTTAAATCCCCATGGATTTCCCTCTTCCCGATGGGAATTCCATGGGAGCATCCCTTAAATCCCCATGGATTTCCCTCTTCCCAATGGGAATTCCATGGGAGCATCCCTTAAATCCCCATGGATTTCCCTCTTCCCAATGGAAATTCCATAGAAGCATCCCTTAAATCCCCATGGATTTCCCTCTTCCCAGTGGGAATTCCATGGGAGCATCCCTTAAATCCCCATGGATTTCCCTCTTCCCAATGGGAATTCCATGGGAGCATCCCTTAAATCCCCATGGATTTCTCTCTTCCCAATGGGAATTCCATGGGAGCATCCCTTAAATCCCCATGGGTTTCCCTCTTCCCAGTGGGAATTCCATGGGAGCATCCCTTAAATCCCCATGGATTTCCCTCTTCCCAATGGGAATTCCATGGGAGCATCCCTTAAATCCTCATGGATTTCCCTCTTCCCAATGGGAATTCCATGGGAGCATCGAAGCACCCCCTGCATCCCTTAAATCCCCATGGATTTCCCTCTTCCCAGTGGGAATTCCATGGGAGCATCCCTTAAATCCCCATGGATTTCCCTCTTCCCAGTGGGAATTCCATGGGAGCATCCCTTAAATCCCTATGGATTTCCCTCTTCCCAGTGGGAATTCCATGGGAGCATCCCTTAAATCCCTATGGATTTCCCTCTTCCCAGTGGGAATTCCATGGGAGCATCCCTTAAATCCCTATGGATTTCCCTCTTCCCAATGGGAATTCCATGGGAGCATCCCTTAAATCCCCATGGATTTCCCTCTTCCCAATGGGCCCAAGCTCCTCCCATATTCCCAAAGGACCTCGACCTTTGAGGCCTTCCTTGGGATGGGATGGGATGGATGGGATGGGATGGATGGGATGGGATGGGATGGATGGGATGGGATGGATGGGATGGGATGGATGGGATGGGATGGATGGGATGGGATGGATGGGATGGGATGGGATGGATGGGATGGATGGGATGGGATGGATGGGATGGGATGGA